CTGTGTACATGGATTCTTGTTGAAAATATTTTTGGTTAGAAACTTTACGTATTTGCTATCTAAATTTTTTATTTTTGTTTCCGATTTTTAGCTTAAATTGTGTGTTCAAAACGTGGTTTTTGCATGCGCGAAAAATCACGTTTTTGCAGACATTTTAAGCTAAAAGTTCGAAATGTAAACAAAAAATTTAGGTAGTAATATAGCGGCGTGGAGTTTCTCGCCAAAAATGTTTGGCGAGAAATTTGTTGCCGCATTTAGCGACCTGAGGGCGCATACAAAAGTAGTTCCATAAATTTTATAATTCAAAAATGTGTTCCAATATGTACTTTTCATAACTGCGAACTCTCCTGGTTTTACTGGAAGACTTTAGGTTTTTCAAACACATCTCTCGGTTTTCAGTGTTTGAAATTTAAATCGTGTGGAAATTTTTTGCTTGTAGCCGAAATATATATAATGTACATGTCAGCTAAATGCACTTAGTAATATTTCTTTTTAATCGTTATATAATTTGCATGCCATATCGTTAGTTGAATTCCTTTTTAACCTGTTTTATTACTTGTAAACGATGTCATGTATTTTTTGTCCTATATCTAAAATTGGCTAATCTTTGGAATATGGTAACAGGTAGTTTGGCGACATTTTGGTAAGGCGATAAAAGTTACTAGCTAGGACTTTAGTGTACATGGATAAAGTCAAGAGTGTGCGCAATGCCATTTTTGTGCAATTCTGAGATGTTTTTTTAAGTGAAAATAGGTCGACGTGTACATGGATGATACCGTGTATGTGAAATTCTTAAAAACGCGGCAAGCAGTTTGCGATTCTGCACTTTCTCAAAATTTCGCACCTAATCTTCGTCATGATTAAGCATTTTTGTTCCATAAAAGTTCTAGTATAAGCGTAATTCGGGTAGCAGATTGTTGGGAAAAAATGTTGAATTAAAAAAAAAAAAAAAAAAAAAAAGCCTTTACTTTGTGAAAACAAAATGGCGTCCAAAACAAAACTAGCAAGTTGCTGTAGCAGGGTTGGTTGCCAAAGTTTCGCCAGAAAATCGCCAAGTTACCATAATCCAAAGATTAACCCTAAAATTAAATAAAGACATTGTCAACTTAAACGTGTTGTGTTTATCTTGTTTGGGTAACAACTCCTAGCAAAAGAGTTGTCGGCTAAGTGTGTACTACGAAATACTCAAGAAGTCTACTGTAAATGGGAATTCATTATAAGAAATGGATCATGTTTCTCTATCTAGAAATGAAAATGAATCGAAAAGGGAAAAAAAGGAACCATTTCAATGAAGTTATTTTGTCATAATATTTTAAATGATAAATATATAATTATATAGACACAGAAAAGGCATATGCCAAAGTAAAACACAACACTAGTTTAAAGAAAATAGCTTGTCTTAGATTTTATGTAAATCTGTATCTATGTTTCGAGGGCGACCGACTACTAACAAAGGCAAAATTTTTGCCAGTATAAGTCTCCTATCTTCCAATTTTATATTTTAAATGCATTCTATATGCCAAAATTTCGAGATTTTTTTGTACAAAATAAATAGCTTTCATAAGAAGAAGATGGCGTTAGAAAGGGGAAAAAGCGTGTTTAAGTGTTAATGGATAACAGCTTCCCCCCCCCTTCCCTCATGAAATCAGGCTGCTACTGTCTTACGTTTCACTCACTGGGTATGAAATGCTATCACTATAATTTAAGCTCACTCAAGTCAAATACATTAAGAGACTTGCTGCAATAGAACGCGCTTTACAAACTAGGCTTGAACCATTTCGGAAAACTTTTTTTTTTTTTTTTACTTTTAGATAAGTGTTTAGGAGCATTAGCCATTAACACATACAACAATGTGAAACAAAAGTATTAGAGAAAATAATGCAGATTGGAATTTAGAAACAAAAAAATGTTAAAATTTTCATTTTTCTTATAACTTTAAAGCTGAGCAAATGATTGGTGGCAATGAACAGTTATGCATATGTACTTTCAACGTACGCAGCTTTTAAAATCACGAATTTACATACCGCATAAATAATAAATAGTTCATAATGCCGCATAAATAATGAATATTAAATTTTCCAGTTTCAATAATCAACTTCTGGAATATTTTCACTATCAAATTTTTCGTGAAAAAACAAAAATTCACTTGAAATATACGACAAAATCTTTTTTATAATTTACTGAAATTCATTTTGTACACCAGCAACTTTAAAGTAACTCTTTTAGCAAAATTTGAATTTAAATTCATGCAATCTATATACGAACGTAAATACATGAAGTATTACAGGCATGAATATGAACGTAATGAATATCTATATCCTGAACGCATATTTCATTTTATACGCAGATGAAGACTAACATTATCAAACAACGTATAAATATTGGGTTTAAAAAATAATGATAATTGTTTTTATCACTCAATGATTCAACGTTATTCCTCCACTATTTTGGTTAAACACGGTTTCACAGCTTGAAGAAGCTCCCAAAGATCCTCATTTAACTACATATCTGAAGCTAATTTTACACAACTGCCAGATTAAACGTGAGTTCAAGGAAGAAAATATTCTTCTCATCCAGAGTTTCTTAAACTGTGGATCATGCAGCAGAGGTCGCCAAAAATTTTAGCAGTTTTGATATTTCTTTAACTTATCATAATAATTTTTACAATTACCAAATATTTTTACACAATGTATCAGAAAATAGATACAGATACAGACAAAGGGAAAAAAAAAACCGTTTCAACGCATTCTTTTTATAACATAAACGTTCATTTTACTTGATTTTGCACGTGATGCTGTCATTTCGTCTGTTACTTATTTAAAATTTTCACATTTTTCTATGTTTTAAAATTAGAATGACCTAAAACTGCAATAATAGTTAATGACCCTTTGAATGTTAATAGCAATAATAGTTACCCTGCAATAATAGCAATAATAGTTAATGAAAGTTAGTGACCTAAAAACTGCAATAATATATTTCGGTATAAGTGAAAAAAATGATGATTTCACTCACACGTGTGTCGGATTCGCGCAATGCTTATGGGGGTCCTGGGGTCGCGAAAAAATCTCAGTGATAAAAAGGGGTCGCGACTGAAAAAAGTTTAAGAAGTTCTGCTCTAATCCAAATGATAAAATAGTTACAATAAGTTAAAATTAAAAATATTATGAAATCTTAATAATGGAAAGAAATTATAAAACACGAAGTCATTTTTTTATCTCTGATTACAAAATAGCAACCGGATTTCAGTATAACCGGAATATATAAACGGAGATACAGCTGGAAGAAGTTTAGCTTAGGTTAACAAAAATCGCTAAAGCTTAAAAGTGTCGAATTTTTCATAGAAGAAAAAATATGGAGAGGGGCAGAGTTTGGATAAGTTGCTAAATACGTAACTAATACTGGCGAATGTAAAATAAATGCTCTTTTAAAAACATACACTTTCTAACTAGTAACGTGATGTTTTATGCACATAAATGATGGCATAACATTTCTTTTGTAGAGTTGTATTCATTGGCATAGCTGGAGGGAGTTGCAATCCGCCCCCCAACCGCACATATTTGGGGATGTCATTTTACATGTGATGCACATCAGAGGAATTAGTCATATGGATTTTCAGATCAAAAAGGTTTAGGATTTAATGGAATATAGCAAAGTTCACTGCGGTTGGAGGGATGTCTCCAAAGAATACAATTCTCTGCGAAGAGCTTAAAAACAGGGAACTGATCCTAATCACGTTCCGAGAGGGGCACTGACTCATAATCACATCATGGATACGTGAATACAATGTTATATACCCTACATTAAGCTGCCAGACCGTTCTTTGGGATGTGACCACAGGTCGTACTACCAGTATTCAACTGCCTTACCCACTGGGTCAGTGGTGAGGTGATGTATCACGAGATGCGGAATCATCATACGAAATTGAATCGAAGAAAGTATTGTTCTTACATCGAACAAAGAAATTGCAGAAATTTCAGTAGCTTCATATTCGTGCTATGCCTTCCTTATTTCATTGAAACTTTTGAATTAAAAATATGAATATTAATTAAAGTATGTTCTCAATGGCATAAAGTAGGAAAAACAGACCCATTAACAGAGTTTTATTCCTGTTACTGTTTGGAAAGATAGAACAGAAAGTTAGAAACGATCGCTTCGAATTTTTGCAGTTTATTTTAAAATACAGTCTCTAAAAAAATATACACTTTCTACTATTGCAAATTTTCATCATATTTTCTGTAAGTATTACTTGTTGCGAGAATTTTTCTAAAAACAAGTTACTTAAAAGGCGCTTAAGACTTTGTATTTAAATACAAGACCTTGTATTTAAAGGTACCTTGTGAAGGACCTTGTATTTAAAGGGTCTACAGAAGCGCATCAGCCAAAGTAAAACATAACTTCAGAAAGTAGGAATTAAAGTTTTCTTTTAAAAATAAACACATAGCTCTTGTTTATTTCCCTTTATATGGTTATAGATTTCATTTTTCGGTTTATATTGAAAGGGGAGAAAATGGATCACTCCTTGTGGCAAAAGCTTCGGCTGCATCACTGCAATCGTATTCATAAAATATACGCTATTGCATGAGCAATATTTTTTATTCGTTCCAACAGTAAATGAAATTATAACTTAACTTTCAACACTACACATTTACGAAACGAATTTAGTCGACTTTTGCTAAATATAGGAGGGAGGATTACTATTATTTCATATTTTCTGATTAAATAAAGTAAATAATTTAATTAATTTGAGATTAACTAATTATTCAAACAAAATAAGTAACTCCCACTCAACTGCTTGGAAGAAAAGAAGCTGCTGTATATGCTGATAGTACAATAATTCAAACCACATTGTAAGAACCTAGTGTCAAAAGTCCTAAAATTACAACATGCTTTTTTATTCACGTACCGTTTGCATTTAAACATCAGAGTACTAGTTAAAAATATCTCTTTCACAGATAGACGCAATAAATAATGAATAAAATTGAAAAGTTTACAAATCTTACCAAACAATGCTGCCTGACAAGTTGGATTTTCCGCGCTTTCAGTTCCTCGTCTAGTCTAATCGCTTCTGTAGTTGTACAGCACGTGTTTTTGCAGGTGGCTGTTTCGTTCTTTTCGCTGCAATCGAAGGTCTGCCATGACGTCATCACGAATTTTGATCTGTGATGTCTCTCTCACCAATGAGAGTCATCCTTTCTTTTCCAGGAAATAAGCGCGCGTTCCGCCTTGTCAGTTTTTGAAAATTAATACGGGTGTTCTGAGCCCAATTCTTGCGTTTTCTAGCAAAGGATGGCTGAATACGTTAAAGAGTTTGAATTTATGTGAGGAGGGAAACTGTCGTTTCACATCTCCTTTTTTTTTTTTTTTCTTCACGACCTGATGATTATATCATTCGTCGCCTTCTAGCATTCAGGCGAAGTCGATGAAATTTTTTGAATAATACATAACTGTGTCTGGCTTACGTCAAACTAATTCGCCACGAGAAAAGTCACGTTATCGTTATCATGTAAGTACTCCAAAAATTCCATCGTTTCGAGAATCGTGTTTTTAATGACAGTAAAATAATAATGAGAAGATGTGCAATATCATTAAAAACAAAATAATATTTCATCGAATTTTAGCATATTTGGGCTGTCCAGCACAATAATGATTTGAAATGGTAAAACAAATTATGTAAATTCCAGTGGCTTAATAAAGACGCTGATGGTTTAATTCGGCATCTGTACGGATGATTGAACGAGTTGCTGCATTAGATATTCGTAGTTTTCCCTCACTTTTTATGTGAGTCGTCGCCAGTTCCCTTAATAAATCGCTCTGCGAAGGCTTCCCTTTCTGTAGATAGCAGTATATCAATTCTAGTTGCCTGAATTAATTGGTACCTGGTTAATTGGTAATAATTAGTTGCTTGGTTAATTGGTTCTGCACGCTGGGTCGGTATTCCAGAGGTCCGTGGTTCGATTCCCGTCGAAAGCGATAGCTCATTTTTCATCTTGCCTGCTTCCAAAAAAATCCTATTATCTTTACAGTGGCGCCCGAACTAAAAGGGTTGTGGATGATGACTCTCCACACCCAGGATTTGGCGATTGGGTTACCTAAAAACCCCAGTCGCCCTTTAAAAAGGGGAGTATATAAGGTATTTCTCCCACTTTCCTAACGTGCCTTTGTGGTGTAGTGGTTCTGCACGCTGGGCCGGTACTTCAGAGGTCCGTGGTTCGTCCCGGCGATGGCGATTGCTCATTTTTCCTCTCTCCGTCTTCCAAAAAAATCCTAATCTCTCTACACAGTAAAAAAAGTAAAGAAAAGAAGAGAATGCTTTTGTATAGCAAAATACAAAAACAATGATGAAAATATACGTTATTTACGTGCAACATATTTTTGTTTCAAATAAAAATGATGAAATTAATTTACATTTACATAGGTTCTAAAGCCATTTTTTACAAATTACCATGTTTTCATTATTTGGAAAAAGAATTATATATATATAAGTCTTCCAGCATTAATTTTAGCTGTTTTTTCACTTGTTTACAGTTTTTTTCCAGTTTTTCCAGACTAATTTCTTCCTATTTATGTAATACTGTGTTAAAATATTTCGTGGAGCTACAGCTCCTGGTAACCTTTTAGCAAGATCGCTGCAATAGGTTGATCTTTACATTATGGTAACTTGGCGATTTTTTGGCGAAAATTTGGCAACCAACTCTCCTACAGCAAACCTCTATTTTTTTCCCCCGCCGCCATTTTGTCTTCACGAAGTAAAGACATGTTCTTTCTTTTTATTCTACTCAACACTTCTTCCAACAATTCTACTAGCGAATTACACTTTGCTAGAAATTTTTATCAAACAAAACTGCTTAATCATGACAAATTCACGCAAAATTGGGAAAAAGGCACAATACAATACTCCTTACGCGTTTTTCAAAATACGCATACACATAACCTGTACACGCCGACTTATTTTACTTAAAAAAATCCCAGAATTGCAAAAATGGCATTGCGCACACTCTTCACATATCCATGTACACTGCTTTTTTCTCATAATTAGAAAAATTTCACGAAATACATGACAATTTTCTCAATCTTTAACCCGGTAAAAAGAACATATATGAAATTACCTGATCGCGACAAGTATTTACCCTTTACAAATATAACATTTCCACATATAAATAAAAAATATCCAAAAACTTTTACCTCTAAATCATCTATTACATTATACAGTCACCAACGAATCATACCGAGATTACAAATACTTTATCAAATATTTAAATTATTTCCAAACGTTACTTCAATTTATACCAAAATTCTCAAATAAAATTCACAAAATAATCATTTAAAATATCACTAAACCATGTACATGTCGACTTATTTTTACTTAAAAAACATCCCAGAATTGACAAATGGCATTGCGCACACTCACTATCCATGTACACTGCTTTTTTCATAATTAGAAAAATTTCACGAAAAACATGACAATTTTCAATTTAAACCGGTAAAAGAACGGTAGAAATTACCGATCGCGAAAAAGTTTTAACCCTTTCCAAATATGAACATTTCACATATAAATAATAAAATATCCAAAAATTTTACTCTACATATCTATTATAGTAAACGTCCACCACGAATCATACCAACAACCATTACAAATACTTAGGTCAGATATTTAATTATTCCATGCACGTTTACTTAACTAACGTATCTAATTCCTACAAACATAAAATTCCCAATAACTATCATTTTTAAATATAATTAAATTCAAAAACACTACTTAAAATAAATGAGCAAATACATTAAATATAAAAATTACCTTACAATCCTTATTACTTTAAACTAAATCATTGCTAATAAAATTTCCAATAATACCAAATTCCTTCCACCTTACATTTGAACAATCATAAAAATAATACCTCAAATAAAAAAAATACTAACTTACTAATCTTCTTCAGATCTGATTCGTGGCGGATACACTTTCTAATTCATTCAATAAAATTGAAGATTTTTTGCGATTTTTCCTCCATACTTCTCCGCTAAAAAAAGCAAACTTCTCTTTATCACAATGCCTAAATACCCATTTCGAATTCACTTAGTTAGGGCAGGGATCCAAAAATTAACCAACACTGTTTCACACAACACAGAAAGCTAAATACAAAATTCAGATTTTTTCCAGATTTCCCCCTTTTCCGATTAAAGACCTAATAGTCCATAATATACATGACATATCCCAGATCTCTCATTTCCTCACGCAAAATAAGCGTTGGAACTGAGACTGCTCACATTTTACAAAGTCCCAGGTGTACCTTTATCGCCTCCAAATGTCGCCAAACTACCAGTTACCATATTGTAAAGATCAACCTTGCAATATTTCTACCTACTACTATTATTATATATATACATATGCTGCATAACTACGGCTAATTGTAATAGCCATGTTTAGCTGAGCAATTTCAATTAAGGCCTTCATCCATTATGGTGGTTACTAGTATGGCTGAAAATAAATATATAACTTGGCCGCAACTAACGGTACTATTGGGATGCCTAAGATTTTTTCTCAGAATTATTGCAGAAAAATAAATAAATGCATTATATGCCTTCATTTTTATTTCTTTATCTTAAAATATAAGGAGGGTCTTATATTATAGCATGTCCTTTTTTCCTTTATAATGTTTGCAAACTCCGTATGTATGCTGATATATTGTCGATATGTTATAGTAAGTAACTGAACTGTTGCATGGCATGTTTATTGGCTTATGATAAACTGTTCTTTATTGTAAGGCAGTAAGCATGCTATTCACATTCATCTAAATTAATTTAATAGCTTCTTTCAATTCATGTGTACCAGCAGGGCCGGCGATAGGCATTTTGCCGTCCAGTGCAAACCTCGTAACTCCAAAATTCTACTCCCCCGTTTCTTTCCTGAATACTAAAAATTTGTCGCCTATAGATTCTGCCGCCGGTGCGGTCGCAAATGCTGTGGGGCCGTCTTTGCGTACCAGCGATCTTCAAACTGTATTCCGTGGAGTCTTGGGGCTTTCACGGAAGCTCTTTAAGGATTTTGAAATCAAATCAAAAGTCAAAACAATTTTTGAATACCATTATGAACCACAAACCTAACCATCTAAAGCAAGTAGTAAAATTATATTCTTTATTTTTAATTGTTATTGAAACCTAAAATAATGTGGAAAAGATCTGTTTTTCTGAGAAAAAATTTAATGAAATAATCATTTTCTTTTTAATTTTATATATAAAATAGAAGTAATATTGATATAATTTCAAGCTTTTTTAACATTTACATTTATTAGTAGAGGTATCTCGGAAATTATATATACAGTATTTTAAGTTCCCCGAGTCGACAAAATTTGAATACCTTTGTTGTGTGCTATTTTTATGCATAATTTAAATCAAAGAAAAAAACTGCAAAAAATTAGTGCCACGTTTAATTTTAAAATAATCCCATCATATTAACGTAAACCATTAGCATCAATTTTATGACCTAAAAATTGTATTTCATCCTGAAAAAATTTACTTTTCTCTAAATTTAATTTCAGTCCATGAGTTTTACATTTTACGAACAAATTTTTTAAAGTATTTAAATGTGCTTCATCATCCGCCACTGTTATCTACGCATCATCCATTCAGTTTTCGTACCAAGATGGCTTCACAAAACGTTTTATATTTTTTATTGTTAACGTTTTTTTGTGTTTATTTATTAAATATCACGTTCTTCGTGCTTGAGCAGCATAAAATTCGGCCACATAAATTTTGAGATTCAACAGCAGAATTTCAAAATATTTCAAAGTAGCATATTTTTAGAATTTCCGATGGACAGTCTTTCGAGGTGAAGATGAAAATGTTTTTTTTTTTTTTTTTTTTTTTTTTTTTTTCTGTACAGGTTTCCATTGTTCGCTTTTAAATCGTTGAGTTTGTTAATCAAAAATTCGTTCAAGTTTTACAAAATATGAAATAGACAATAAAAGAAATTCAAAATTCTGCCTTCCACGTGCTCATATTCGATTGGAGGACTATGGTTATTCAAAATTTGATGGCTTTAGGTACCGTTGTTTTTTCCTAGTTCGAGAAACATACATACATTCACGCAGATTCTTCACTATTCGATTTCTTTAAATATAATAACATTTAGTGGCAACAATTTAAAAAGTGGTACAACGCTTTTAGTGATTCGATGCAAAATACTGTTTCCAGACTAATAGTCCTTCTGGGCTAACGCCCCTTTGGGCGAAAAAGGATTGGGAGGAATGA